AGCCTGAAGATACCAAGATGCATGCATATCCTCCCTCCTTCTCCGCCCATTGGCGCTTCTTGACACTGTGCATGCACGCGCGCGCCAGAGCGTATTGCACGCACATTTCTGGCGCCCCGCCCATCCTAGTAAAGGGGAAGAGGCGGCTGGCCGCGCACCAGTCAATCACTCTCAACCCAGCGCACATGCGAGGTCTGAGTCACAACACTCGCACTGGCATGCGTTTCAGGGTTGCGGTTCTTGGTCTTCGGGTTGAGGGTTGCAGTGTTGATTGCTTGCATATGCATGTATGGATGATCGTGCATTTTTGCATGCATATACCCCTTGCAACAGTGACTGTTGATGTCAAGGTGAAATTCTATCTGCTGCAGATGGCGGGCACCCTGCTGACCCTGGTGGGCGCCGCCCTGCTGACCACCATCAAGCAATGCGTTACTGGAGTCGCAGGATATCGCAACAAACATTTCCCAAAAACATGAATGCACGCCTGAGCGTGGAAATGCAACCTCAGACAAGAGCAGCAAGCTTCAAGATGGCCCTGGGATCCCTTGCTGCCAACACTGCGCCAAAACCACAGATATGTAGCTGTTGCGCTGACATACCCGCACCTTGAAATGGCATAGGATGTCACCAGCGGGATACGATGCCATTATTTGGCAACCTTGCCCTTGACCCAGAGTCTGTAACTTGCATTTGGGCTTGCTCTGGATGTAGTCGCCCTGAGTTCTTTCAGGCTGAACAGCAAATGTATCTTTTAAATACTGCCATTGGTCCCGCCCCCCTGGGAGGGGGGGGGGTGGCATGCACATGGATATTTGCACCAACAAGTGCAGCATTCTGACCCCACTTTTGAACCACACTGCCTGGAGCACCTGCATGCGTCTAAAAGCTGAGTACATCTGTCTTACGTGGTTGGACACATGAGAATCATTCTGAACGTAACTGTGTGGAGGTGTCAACAAAAATAATTGTCAGCAGGCGTTGAGGCGCGCGCCGACGTGCCACCTGAGATGATGCGATTGGGTGCGTAATTGTGCCCCACATACAAGGGCTTGCACAACGCAGAAAATGCCATCGCAATGAGTACATGTCCTCAGCGGTCGCAAACAGTGACAACGGTTAAGCGGGATGACGACTGCCACGCCAGAGAACGCAACCGGCGAGGCTGACCAGCCAAGTGCGCGCATGGGCCTAGCCGCACTCCCCGCCTCGGACCGCTGCCACAATAAACCAAGACGGTGTATGCAACCACGTCTGCACTGGCGCGGCAATGCCTGCCAAGAAAGCGTAGGGCCAATTGAACCCTGACTGCAATCAAAATGGCGTAATCAAAATGGCCCGCCCCTTGTGTGTGATTCATGTATGTAGCAGTGCACTTGTTTTATAGCAGGCGCGGCCTGTCTGGGATGCGGCAGCTAGGGCCTTTTCAGCGACAGCTTTCCTTCTGGAGTCTCCGACATGACCAGCTTCTTCTCCAGCACCAACTCCACAGGATCCATCCAGATATCATACTTTGGCGACTTCCTCACGTCCCAAACCCAGATGATCACAAACAGCTCTCCGGGCGTGCGGTGGGCCACGCGTGCCCTGCGCCACTGCCGGTCGCTGATGATGGGGCCGTACTTTGGCTGCCGATAAGGGGTGGCCTTGACATCTATCAGGCAGCGCACGCCTTTCCGGTCGCTGCCTGCAAACTCCCCTGCGGCATCAATAAACTCCAAATCAATCGCCCAACAGTCTTCCCGCGAACGCCAGCAGCTAGTGTCAAAACCTGTGAGGTGGTTGGCCAGTACACCAAAGGCAAAAGCCTCCCCGAGGCTGCCGATGTACAAATCTCTGTCGCCTGGGCGCTCACCAGGCCAGGATTGCGGCATCTCAACGCTGCCATTGTCACAGTCATGGTTTGTGTACTGCTGCTGCTGTTGCTGCTGCCGCCGCTGCTGCTGCTGCCGCTGCTGCTGCACGACAGCAACAGAAGAAGTCTCAGATATCTGAGGCTGAATCACCACAGGAGGAGGCAGCAGTTGTTGCGCCGCTTTGATTTTCCTCGTGAAATTTGCGTGGGTGACGTGTGTCGCTGCGGTCTGTACGAGAATCGTGTCCTCCTGCCAGCACTCATCCGATTCCCAGAAGTCGTCGCAAAACATCACTTGCTGCTGCCACTGTTGCTGTTCCGGCTGCCGGTTCCATTGCTGCTGCTGCTGCTGCTGCTGCTGCTGCTGCTGCTGCTGCTGCTGCTGCTGCTGCACCAGCTGAGGGAGTGATGGCCGCGGTCTCCTTTGGGGTCCTGGCGACGCGGCACGTGAAGGGGACTGGGGCCGGTCACCAGTACCTGTTGATGTGCAGCATAGCCAATTGGGTGTCAAGGGAGGTTGAAATCTTGTGGCCATGCAAGTAGCAGCCAACTCAAATCACAGCTGGTGATTAGCAAGAAAATCAACAGTCGAGCGCAGTGGACAGGCATGACTCCCAAGTCGATGTAACGCGCAAGGGCATGCCCAGAATGCGCACCGGCCAAAGATGCACTTGCAATGGGAGACTGACTCCGCGGCTGTACGGGTGCTGCTGCAGCGCTCACGCGCCCGGGGCTGTTGGGATGTTGCTCCCCAAGCAAGAACTCAATCTGTTGGAGCAATGCAAGCGTAGGAAGCTGGCTGATTCGAATAATTGCAAACTTCAAGCACAGAGCTGCCCCAGCACTTTAGAAGCACGCAGCAGGGCGGGGGGTGCAGTAATCGCAGTGGAGAAACATGCACGCTGCATTGGACGCGTGCAGGAATGCCGCGTATCGGCCGGCGCGCACCTACCTCGGACTGCTCTGCTTGCGCTTCCGCATCGCCCTCGGCTCCTTGTGTCTGGATGTTCACATTGCTTGCTTGCCGCGCTTGCTGCCCCCGTTGCCTTTCCACCTGCCGCCGCGGCTCTCCCGCAGGCATGTCAACAGGGTTCAGGCCCTGCCCACTTTGTCTGGATGTCCTGGGAGGTGCATCTGTGAACTCTCGCGATGGACTGCTGTCTCTGGAAACATTGCCACTTTCATTGTGCTCCGGCTGCGCCAGAGCTGGCAGGATGCACACACGCAGCCGCTGCCGCCATGGCTGTGAAACAGGTGCTCTTGCCAGGAGCGCCAGCGGCGATCCTGCCACTGGCCTGGCCCCAGCAGTCCGCTGCGTAGCGACAACAGTCATTGCTGCAAAGCCACAGGTGATGTTTGCTGGGATTTTTCGCAAACGAGGGTCGTCCGGGAGTCTTATCCGAGACAACCCACACGATACAGGCGAGCCGCGTCGCCAAACCTCATGTAGCACGAAAAACATCTGTAATCCATGAAAGGAGGGAGCAAATAAAATGTAAAGGCTCGATCAAGCGTTCTGAAGTGGGTCAAATGCAGGTCAAGCAGCGGTTTCACCGCTGAACGGGCCGACAGGCCGCTGCCTTGGAGCATCAGATGTTGGATGTTCGTTCCACATCCAGTCGTAAGGTAGCAGAACAGGAACTGCTCCGGCCGCAAAGAATCACGTGCGCGTCATGGTGCAGCAGCAAAAACCACGGTGCGGCGGCCCCGCCACGAGGCACAGCTGCCCGCAGCCCTCGCAGCGATCGGAGTAGTGCCGCACCGCCACCCGCCGCCGCCCCTGCACCACGGTCACGCCGCCGCAGGCGCACTCCTCCTCCAACTCGTGCCTGGGGGCGCGCCCGTCGTAGTCCCACAGCAGCTCCTCGCCGCGCCGAATTGGGCGCAGCACGAGCAGCCAGGCAGCCGGAGGGCGGTCGTCGCGCGCTGAGCTGTACAGCACTGCAAACACCAGATTCGCGCGGCTGCAGGCGTTGGCGCGTGCAAAATAAGGGGGCCAGGATTGGTCGGCACAGGATGCTGTCATGTGCGGCCGGCATCCAGGAACAGGTTTGAGCTGAGATATGTTTGACCCACCCCTAGCAGTAGTGGTACCGGCGGTGCTGCCCCTGCTTGCCACACACCTGCGCTGGCATCAACACGCCGGCCCAGCAAAGGCGCACAGCAAACATGTCATCTTGCAACAGGCACAAGCAGCAGTGTGCTTGGCTCACGTGTTGTGGCCCTGATTGGCGACGACGCCAACGCCGCCGCCAAGCGCGGGCCGGATCGCCCATTCCGCATCCAGGTCGCAGTCGGCTATATCCGGCGTCCGAGTCGCCTTGCGCTTGAAGCCGCTGCGGCGCGGCGGCTTGCCACGCCCGCCCAGCCGGGCTGCTGCCCTTGTCAAGGGGCCGCTGCCGCCCCCGCCACCCCAATCGCTGCTGTTGCTGCCGCTGCCGCTGCCGCCGTTTCCGACCCCACCACCGTTTGCCACCTTGGCCCTGCCACTGCTGCCCGGGCCGCTGCAGGTTGCGCCGCGCAGCTGGCCCGTGTAGGGCAGCACGCCGCCGCTTGTGCACAGAATTGGCGCCAATCGCACCGCGCCGCGCCCGCAGCGTGCCAGCCAGGCGCCCTCACCCTCCACCACCGCCTGCAGCTTCTCAAGCCGCCCGGCGGCCTCGGCACGCACCTGCTTCGCAGCGAAAGGCCCAGTGTGATCCCGGAAGCTGAAGGGGCCAGGGGTAAGTTCGTGGACAGAGATCAGCCCGTGACCCCCCAGGTCCGGCCCCAGCGGCGCTGGCTCGAGCGAATTGTCTAGCTGCCGCTGCGGCGGGCTCGTCGGCCGCCGCAGTCCCCCCAGCTGCCGCTGCGGCCGCTGTTGCTGCTGGTGCTGCTGTTGCTGTTGTTGCTGCTGCTGCTGCTGCTGCTGTCCCTGCTGTTGCCACTGCAGCCGATGGTCCAGCAGCTGCTCTTGGCCAGATATTGGGGAGGATACCTCGTCCTGCTGAGCACGCTCTTCGGCCAAACTGGCCCCAACACTCTGTGCGACACCGCTGCTATTGCCGCCACCCCTGGCCCCGCCGCTGACGCCGCCGCAAACAGATGCACCGCGGCCAGCGCGATTGCGCTTCTGGTCGCGGCTAACCCCATTGCTGCCGGCTCCTGTGCCGCTTTTGGATGCGCACGCAGGGTTGCGCGGCTGCTCTTCAGAGCGTGCGCGGGCGAGCTGCGTCGGGCGGTTGGCGGGGGGGGGGGGCGCATGAGGCGCGATGGCGTTTTGGGGTCGCTTTACCCTGACCCTATGCCTCGTGGCTCATAGGGGCTGCACCAGCTGGTGCCCAGACAGCGTTGCAGGCTGGACTGGAGAACACGTCCCCAGGATCCCTGGACGCGCACGTGCACCCTGGCGACACTTGACACACAGACACATCACCCCAAGCAGCCCCACCGGGTTGAGCAGCGGGCTGGGCATGGCCACAAACTCAGACATGTAGAGCGCCGGCCGCCCCCTCGCATCGATTTGCGCCAGGCAGGCCAGCTCACGCAGGGTCAGCCCCAGCCCGGGCTGCGTGCGGGACCGGTCAAGGCGGAAGTACGGGGACGGCTGCAGCACGACGACGCGGCCGCTGATCTGGCATGTACAACGCCGGGGGTGGAAGGTGGACGGAGGGTGTGAAAAAGCGATGCCAGGGGTATCAGGAGGCTAGGACCTGCAGCACACGGTGCGATTGGAGCGGTGACGCACGCGATTCAGGGCAGTCCAGCTGCAACAACTGGAAATGGAAATCTGCAATCACCTGTTTCAGAAGGTTGGCCGTGTCTGCGTCCGCCGCTGGGCCCGCCAGCGCCGTGCCGTCCATAAGGAAACGGGACACGCACGCCGCGGTGCAGTCGTGCTCCGCAGCCCCTGCTGCCACCATGCGGTTGCATAGGCGGCAGAACCAGCGGTGACCGCGGACGGAGGGGTGCGCGGCGAGCAGGCCGATCTCTCGCATCGCGCTGCAGGGCAGGCGGGCGGATCCGCAGTCGCAGAGCACGAAGGCCTCCGACGGCGCGTAGCTTTTTGCAGGGTCGGCGGCGCACAGCACGGCGGGCCTGCTGCGTTTGGGGTGCTCTCGGGCACAACCGGCGCACTCATAATGCGCGGTCTTTCCGTCTCCGCTGATCGTGAGCGCCGGCCGGTGTAGGCAGGCGCGCACTTGGTCGGCGGCAGGGCCGTCCTGGCACCAGAGCAGCGTGCGAGCACCCCACGCGTCGCCCTCATTCCTACTAATGATGGCGCGCGCCACAGCGCGCACGGTTGCCATTCCATATGCTGGCATGCTGATCTATACTTGACGTTGAAAGGCATAAATGCTGCTGCACCGCAGGCAGCGGGATTCAAAAGATTCAAACAGTGAGGATAACTGCGGTGCTCTTTCTTGCACAGTTGAGGTTTCCACGATGCTTAAATTATTTGCGGTGGATATTCTTGATGCGAGGATTGCTTCTACGACATTAAAGCCGCAAACGGCGATTGAGCTCGCCCAGATCTGCGATCATGACTTTGCAACATTGGTTCAAGATCGAATGCATCATACACGTTAAATAGAGATGATATGTCTGCAGGTCATACATGATCTATGCTGGCTGGCCCCCTTATTGTGTTGGGGATTGTCACCCACAGCCCTGCAGTGCCGGGCTGCAGTAATCGGCAGAAGTGGATTGTGCATTGCCGACCCTGCAAGCGGCTGTACAGGTCCTAAATACAAGAATCATGGCGAGAGGGTGCGCAGTCAGCCGTCAGAACGCCTTGAGCAGCACTGAGCACTCGGGTGTGTGTCGGTACCGGAGCGTGCCCGAGGTGCGCGAGCAGCTTGGGGCCATGCGCCGGCGGTGTGCGATGTCTCCTGGTGGTCTGCAGCGCCATCTTTGAGGCAGTAGTCTTTCTGCCCTCTGCACACCTGCATGCTTGATCGCCGCGGAGTGACACACGACAAACCTTGCTATCACCTGCCTGCATGAAAGAACGTGCTCGCCAGGTGCTGCAGTAGACTGGGTCCGGAACAGGTTGAGTTGTTGACACGGCTCATGTCACATAAATGTCGATGTAAATGTGTGTCTTGAGTACCGTAGTGCAGCGCAGCCGCCATTGGCCTTCGGGGCCATGCAAGCTCTAAGACTGAGAGTGCCGTCGGGGGAGGGCCGTCTGCGTTTGCTGCTGCCTCTGTTTGGGGCAAACATGACAAGACTCAAAACTCAGAGAGCCAGCAGCAGTAACCCATACCCAACCTGCAGGAGGTGTTGAGTAATTCACTGGCCAAGCTTGGGTGACCCAGAAGTGACATGGAACAAGACGTCGGAAGCACTGCGACATGCAGCTTTAGTAGTTTTTGAACTCAAAACCCCTTTGTGACGCCGGCGGTGGCCACATCCTATACGACAGAGCGATCCGGGCGATCAGCTGTAGCGGTCCAACGACGCGGACGCAGCACCTGTTTGCGTTCTAAGCACTTTGAAATGAGTGTGGCCTACCAAAAGGGCGGCTCGGGGGCGAGGCAGGCCGGCGGGATGGCGACGCAGCACTCGCTTAGTGCTGCAATGACCAAGCGCCAGCACGCGCTTGTGATCCTGGCTCTAGGGCTGGGCACATTGATGGAGTGTGAGTAACAGCTTTGGCGGCCTGGCACCACGTATGACCTGAGGGCATCTCAGAGTTTGGGCACGCCATCCGCACAGCGCGTGCACCAACCCAACAACCGAACAACACCAGCAAGCGCACCCACCAGTTCCCCCTCACTGCAAAGCGTCTTTTGCTGCTCGCGCACCCACTGCTGCGCTGCGCGACCCCGCACACATGTCCGAACCCCCAGGGTACGACTTTCAGGTGGGGGCCAGCTCGACCCTGCAAGCCCTGCACCTGTGGAAGCGCGTGCCCAAAAAGCCCGCCCACTGCCGCCTGGAGCGCCCCCTGGCCGGTGCTGTCGCCTTGCCAATCCCCTCGTTCCTCGACTCCTCCTAGCCTTTACTGAATTTCACTGATCCCACATTACCCAAACCAACACAGCTGTACTCTGGCCTGTCCAGCACGATCAGCAACGAGTTCTTTCCAAAGAACGACCGCGTTGCCCAGGCGAGTTGGAGAGACAGGGGAGAACGATGATGGCTTGAAGAGGGGGCCCGTTGGCTGGGCTGATGTGGGAAGCCCAATAGTCAGGTAATCACCAGACGCTGAGCCTCAGTTGTGAGCCACGAGTGAGGTGTACTGCAAATGCTGTGGGCACACCCCCCGGTCCCTGCGACACCCTGGTGCCATCCCTCATGCGCACACCCGCAGGCCCTCTCTTTCTGGCTGGTATTTGCGTTGGCCTTGTGAGTCGTGCTGTCGCCCCTATTTCCCAATCACCTGTGTCCCTGCGGGTGGCGTAAGCCGCTGTTTCGAGGCTGGGCAGCCCGGTGACCTGCATTTCTTCCCCGTGTCCCGCTGGCCCAAAAACGGCCCCTTGCCTCCGTATCAAGCGCCTGCAGGGCAGCTACGAGCCAATCTTATCAAAGCCAGCCCTCAACGGGTTGAGTTATGCGCCGTCTTGATAGCTAAAACTGCTGCCCACACGCCGAGCGAGCACACTCGCACACTCGCACACTCACACTCGCATGCATACCAACTTACTCATCTCCACCGCAGTGTCACTCGGCCCATCGGTGCTGTCATCTTTGGTGAGAGCGGGGGTGCTATGGATTTCTGTTGCTTCTGACCAGGGGGGGTGAGAGGGTAGCTGCTAGTCCTGTGATGTGCTGCCCAGGCCTGGGCCGGGCTTGCGCCGGATGCTGCAGGGACTGCATCATTCCCATCCCGCGGTTGAGCATCCGTTACCCTGCCAACCAGCCCATCCAGCCAACCTGAGCTCCTCAGTATTGAACCTGCACCCAACAAATTAGTTCTTCGCCCCCCTTTGTGTACCCTCCACAGGTCACGTGGGCGATCTCATCGGCCGCCGCGTCAGCCTGCTCGTGTCGATCCTCTGCATGGTGCGGAGGACAGCCACGGCACTCTGTTCTGCAGGCAGTACGTCACAATATCCAGGTTGCAGCCTCAGTCCGGCTTTCTCTGCCAGCCAGCACGCTCTCAACCTGACGTCGCCATGTCGGCTTCCAGCGCGCTCGGTCGAGGCTGGCTCCTGACCCAGCCCAGCGCCGTCTTGTGGATCAAACGCCTAAAATTATCGGCACATCCAAGTGTGCGTAATTCCGCCGCCCACGCATACAATCGTGCGCCCTGTGTCCTACGCATGCAGGCCGTCCCCACCGTGCTCATCGGCTGCATTCCGAGTTACGAGGTGCGGCAGGCAGCCCGGCCAGCGCGTGGATGACGCACCGGCTCTGCACGGACAGCCTGGCATGCGTTTTGAGGCGTCGACGCCCATTCAGTAGCCCAGCGCCGCTGTTCACGCGCGACCGGTTCCTGCAGCCTGGTCCGCTCTGTGGCGACCGCGTTGGTGTGACCCTCCCGTTGCTTGGCACCCTGCAAACCAACGCGCCGCTCAACCCCACCAGACCATCGGTGTGGCGGCACCGGTCCTGCTGGGCGTCCTGCGCGTGATCCAAGGCCTCGCCATTGGCGGAGAATACGTGAGCCCAATCAAATCTGCGATGGGCTGGGGCCCGGTCATTTGCTAAGGTCCTGCAGCAGGGACTTAAATCAAACACCACTCTAAATAAAAACGACGAGGTTGGGCTGGCCGCGCGGCGTCAAGTGCGTTGGCGGCCTGTCGGCGGCCCCTCCGCCAGACGCCGAGGCATCGACTCGTGCCACCCGACGCCACCCCCCGCTGCCCCAGGGCACTGCCGTGGTGTACGCTGCGGAGCTCGCGCCTCCCGGCTGGGAGGGCCGCCACAGCACCTTCATTGTGGCCTTCTGTCAGGCCGGACTGCTGGCCGGAGAGCTGGCTGTCCTTCTGGGTGGGTGTCGGTCATAATATAGCATGGATAGTGCACAGCATAGCGCGTGGGCGAGTGCAGGGTGTGAGTGCGGTTGGAGGTGTCAGTGTGGTCTTGCAGTTGCAGGTGCATCGGCGCACCTGTGGGGCATTTGGTGTATGTTTGTGCACGTGTCCGTCCACCGGGGGACGGGGGCTGGCACGTGACTGCGGGCGTGGGGGTGCCTGTGCATGTATGTGGGTGTATGCCGTGCTGTCGGTGTGTGCAGGGGTTGAGCCTGGAGATGCACATTTGCGGCTGCACAGAGAGCTGCGGCTTTTGCACAAATTTGATTGGCTTCAATGGAGCCAGGTGTTGGGACGACAGCGTGATGGGGGCGGCCAACGCACAGCAGTGCAGCCGAGTTTAGTGCAGGGCCAAACACTGATTGCGCAGTGCGGCCAGCCGGCAACAATGGCTTTCAGCCGCTCCGCCAACGTGCTTATCTCTTCCTGTTATTGACAGCACTAGGCTCCGCCCGCCTGCGCCCCGCAGTTGTCGCCGCATGCACCCCGGCTCAGCTGGCCGTGTGGGGCTGGCGGATCCCCTTCCTCATCGTCATTTTCAGCGGTTCGCTGGTGAGCGCCCACACAGGACAGCCTACAGCCCTGGTGCCGCCATGGAAGTCTTGCAGCAAGGGTGGCCCCAAGCATCAGACTCTCTCGAGCAGTGTCGCACCCGTTTCTGCGCACAGACCTCATCCTGCTTTTTTGAACGCCCAAAGCACCCTTGGAGCGCCCCAGGCGCATAGTTACCTGCCTTGGGCTTGCGGCACACTGCCGATGCCTCCAACCTGGTGCATCTGCCCCCAGAATCGTCCTGCTCTCCTCTCGTGCCCCGACCCGCCCACACCACGCCGCCGCCGCCAGGCCCTGATCCTTCGCCTGAACATGCCAGAGCCCCTGCTGCTGATCGCCAAGGCCCGGCTGGAGGCCGAGGCGGCCGCCGCCCCCGGCGGCGCCGCCGAGGCCGGCTGGAAGGCCCTGAACGACGAAGAGAAGGCGGCCGCCGCCCAGGCTGAGCTGGACAAGATGCGCCACCGTGTGCCGCTGCTGGCGCTGATCAAGCACCACGCCCTGGCGCTGGCGCTGTTCGTGCTCGTGGCCTGCTACGCCCAGGCGTCAGTCTGTGAGCTGCGCGCGACGGTCGCAAGCAAGGGATGGCCGTCGCTGCCCGCGGACAGCCACTTGTTTGCTTTTGTGCACCACAGATCTGAAGGCTTTGCAGCGCAGTTGGCTCACCAGGAACGGGCCCCAAATGACGCGCGCGCACACCCACACACACCCACACACACACACACACACACACACACACACACACACACACACACACACATGTACACGCGTGCACGCACGCACGCTCGTGCGCACAACTTCTTCGCCAAACCACCCCTGCCCACTACGGATGCAACAATTCCATCTGTGAGCCCTGAGCCCGGCGCGGCTGCCGAACGCCACACCGCTCCAACGCAGACACCATCACCACCTGGCTGGCCAAGCACCTGCGCGACGAGGGCGTCCCAAACCTCACCACGCAGGTGCGTACAGCCACGTCCCCCCAGCGGTTCCCTGGCTGCTGTGCCCTGACTCGCAAGATAGCTGAGTCCTCATTTGCCGATGCACGCAGGCATGTACACATACGCAACGCTCACCTAAATGCAGCTCCCATCCGCGTACTCAGATTCGCGCGAATTTGCACACACGCAAGTTCGCGTGCAACCCGCTCAAACGTCATCCGCCCTCCTGCAATTGCCCCTCCTCCCCACACGCACCACACACACACACACACACACACACACACACAACCACACACATAAACAAACACTGCCACCCACTGATGCCACCGCCCCCCAGGTCATGTCCATCACCGCGCTCACGGCCAAGCTTGGCGGCGTCCTCCTCTGCGGCTGGCTGGCCGACAAGGGGATGGGCGTCTGCATCGCCGGCGCCGCCAACGCCCTGATCGGCGTCGGCCTCAACTTCGGGCTGGGCAAGGTGGTGGCTGATTACGTGAAGGGCTCGGGCGCGCTCGTCGGCGCCTGGCTGATGCAGGTGCTGCTGCTGGGCTGGACGGGCTTCGCGCTGGCGCTGCTGCCCACCGTTGGTGTGAACATCTTCAGGTGGGTGCTGTATAGGGCTTGGTGCGGGCAGACAGCATGTCTTTGATGCAGACTACCTCAACTCCTGCTGTCATGCAGCCATATTGCAGAGAATTTGCTGCTTGACTGTTGGCTGTTGACGAACACTTGTTGCGGTGGACTCACTCGTGGACACGTGTCTCACGTCAACGAAACCCGACCCACAAATCCTTCAATCGCACCGGCAGCCCGGACGTGCGCGCCAGCGGTTACAACATCGGCTACAGCATCACCAGTGGGATTGTCGGCGGCCTCTCCCCCTTGGCGGTGACCTCCATCATGGCCAACCACGGCGCCGGCATATACGGCGCCGCCTTCTGGACGCTGGCCGCCGGCTGCGTCAGCGCCTTTGCATACTTGGTCACCCTCTGGCGCTTCCCTGCGTGCAGCCACCCCCACCTGCGGCCGCTGTGCCAGACGGAGCTTTGCGTGGTGTCAGTCTCCAAGCGCGGGGCGGTCGACGGCCCAGCGACACTGGCATTGACTGCGGGTGATGGCAAGCAAGGGCAATTGAAGGCCGTGAGGGAGGCAAGCAGGGACGACTGATTCTAAGCCGCACAAGTCCCTCGGATTGGTGCCATAGTCAATGCATCTGCAGGTTGGACAAGGCCCCCTCGATCAAAGTTTGCGTCGGCGCTGGCATGCTTTCTTGATGTAGTTTCATTGCTGTTGCCTCGTGGCGTGCACGGGGCAATGTGCTCGCGTGGCTGGCACCCGCCCTTGCAATCGACACACTTGCCTGACAATTTGCACCGCTTGGCGGCAATCTCAAGGCCACGTGCGACCCCTGCGACACATCCCAATGCAAAGGGCGGTGTTGATTGGCACCAGAGCACCGCTCCAGGTGCAGGGCCTCTGTTGGCTTCGATTACGCCCACAAAAATACACACACACCAAGGTGGTACTGCATAGGATATCACCCCACAAACACATGATTGTCATGGCCTTTAAGGCTCTGAAAAGACGCGCAATTCTTTGCAATTGCCGGCGTCAGAGGGGCATTTTCATCCTTTGTTGCTACGTGCCACACCAGCCACCTTGAACGTGTGCCAAGTTCATACCTCAGCATCACCACTGTATGTCGAGCTCAATTTCCCGCTGCCCCCAACAACTCACATATGCTCATGCTGCTCAACAACAACTGCTCGTGGCACAATCTTACGTGATTTTCCCATCCATGCAAGGAGCTGGGTGCATATTTAGCAAGCTGCCGGATGCAGCCTTTCCCAGCCATCGGCCTGTAGTTGTTTGTCGGGCCGCCCTGGCACCCCCACTTGCTGCCCCCGCAGGCAGCCCTTTGCCCTGTCGGGCAAGGGTGTCTTGCGGTCTTGCACTTTGGGTCATGCCGTGGCAAGTGCTTCGTTTGCCTCGCAGCATGGCAGCAGCTGTGGGCACCGTCTTACTCCCTGGCCCTCTGCATACTCCATGTACACACTGCCGGCGCCACAAAATGCTGCACGATCGAACCCGATATGATATGTTATGCCAGGTGACCGCGCAATGACCGTCCGGCCCGCAGGCCTTGCGCTGGCCCCGTCGCTTGCTTGCTGCTGCCACACTCATCGAAGCACACGCATGTCACCCACCCAACCTTGCAGGCCTCCTGGTTACTATGTTTGAGAAATGTGATTGTTGCATGCAGAAGCCACACAACACCCCTTGCTGGTAACACAGTGTTGTTTGCCCCGATTGTTTACCAATGACATGCAGCTGTAGTCATGCAACGAGCATGCGGGTGGACTTCAAACAGCGACACCAAGCGCTCCTTGGTATGCATCTGCACCAACGACTGCACGCGGGGCATGTGCCCCACCCTCAACGCGATGACCCCGCTGCGCGTCACGTCTGCACAGCAGGGCTACAACGTTGCCAATGGGAGCATAAGGACACATGGAGGTCATGGCAGTGCAATTCTAGTACTTGCGTGCTTTCAACAAAAGCCTGCCATGAGTACGGACTCGCCTGTTCGTCGACATACCTGTGTCACTGAACAGGTCCCTTGAGTGCATGGTGTTGCTTGGTGTCGCTTGGTGTTTGCTGATCTTGCTGCTCCTGTTGATGCTTGAGCATATAGCGCGCTGAATGAGGCACACAATCATTGTGATGTCAGCAGTTTGGGTCGCTGCTTGGTCATTGCTTTGCCCGGACAAGCGAAGGGTGCGTGTGTGCTTGCTTGTTGCCACGCTCTTCAGCACCTGGGGGCTTGCATGAGCTGGAGCAGCAGCAGAGTTAATCCTGAAGCTTTATGATATTGCATGGTAGGCATGAACCAATACACTGCAAGGCCGGCCAACCTTTGGCGGCCGCTGACATCGCACATTGTGACCGTGGAGGATGAGAACATCATCCCCCCCAACAGGAGAAACAGGACCGGCGCAGTGTGGAACCGCCAAGTCTGACAACGGCTGTCTATGCGCTCTGACAGCGCGTCCCGTATAACAAGACATTTTCAACGCCTTTAGCGGCCGGGTTCAGACTGCACAGCGAAGGTCACCAGCCCGGTGGCCTCTGCAAAGCCATGCTTTTCGCGGGTGAGCCGTGGTGCGAAGCGTTGAAGATGCATCAAAGGTTACATGCGAGGCCATAGCCATGGCTGTGGTCATGGCACGCAGCAGCTTGGCTGTGCGGCGCGCAGCGCTGCGCCGAGCGAAGCATGACGGAGTGATGCTTGGGCACACCTGCCGCATGACCCGTCATGCTCCTTCAATAAAGAGCGCGTTGTTCCCTGCTCAGACCTACATCCTATCACTTGCTGCTGCACGATCCCGTCCGCAGGCGCCCCTGCGCCGCCCAGAGCGCGCGGAGCGCCTCGCACGAATGCAGCCCGGACGCTGCACCCCGCGCGCCTGCTGCTGGCCGCCCTCGCGCTGCACCTGCTGGCGGCTGCATCCCTGCCGCGCCAGGCCCGTGCGCAGATGCAGCAGCCGCTGCAGGGCAACAGCGACGACCCGCCGCAGCGGCCGACAAAAGTATACATCTCCGTGTTCCTGGACAGGCTGCTGGCGGTTGATGACAAGAGCTACGACTTTGAGGTGAGCAGCCTCGGGCCTGGAACCCTTCACTCTTCAAAGTTTGCACATGGCACAGGTACCTGAACGCATGCGTCACAGCGCAGCGGACGCTGGATACTAGCCAATCCTGCCTTGCGCTTTGCTGCAGACCTCAGATTTGGGCACGCTGGAGGGGCTCGCCAGTCCTGCACCAAGCTTGCAACCGCCGCGTTTTCCTGCCAACAGGCTGTGATCTTCATATACCTTTCTTGGTCCGACCCAAGGGTCAAGAATCAAATCAAGAAATCGCAGCAGAAGGTGGAGGTGAGTCTGCTCAGCTGGTGGAGCATCTTGCCTGCGTCAGCCAGTCCTGCCCACGTGATGGCATCATCAGCCTGACACAATGTGGTTGGGCACGTCTTTGCCGCTGCATTTCTCGTGTATTGCTGCGGTGCTCTACTGCATACTTATGCGCTTCGCCGCAAGCTGCATAGTCGCGGCCCCATCACTCGACCGCACCTACCTCTTGGCCCATGTCATGACATTGGCTTCACTGGTTCCACCTTCGCAGGCTGGCAACCACACATGCACCTTGCTCTGTCAGTCCAGTGGGCATGCATCTGGCGGCTGCTGCGAAGATGTGAGCTAGGATGTACACAAGTGGTTGCAGCTGCCATGTGTCCTTTTGTTCGACAACCCTACACACGCACAGGCATGCACGGACTCATCCACTCGTGGACATCTCTTGCTCACCAGAGTGCGCGCACGCACGCACATGCGCACACATACGCACAATCAAACACGCACACACATGCACGCACGCACGCACGCACACACACACACACGTACACACACACACACACACACACACTTTCAGGTATGAACGCGTACAACAATGAGCAAGCACACATGCCTCATCTATGCCTTGCCCTACACAATTACACGCACTTGCATGCACACTATCTCACGCACAGGTATGGCTGCCATATATTCCTATGTCGAACATCAAAGTCCTCCCACAGGCAAGAGGGGGTGGGCGGCTTGACCCTGCAGCACGGGCCACAACCCTGAAAGCCAGCATCTAAAAGTTTGCTGCGTGCAGATCATATAGACCCAGACTGCCGCACCTCTCTTCTGGGCTGCGTGCTTGTTGCCCTCCTATTGCACTCTTAGGTGTGGTCTTGAATTCAACAGCACTTTGCTGCAATCCTCACCTCCCGCTCACCCTTGAAATCATACCTCTCTTTGAACACGCCGCACCTTCCCAGCCTACCCTTCACCATACACTTCATTTTGACTCGTCCCCAGGACCGCGTGTATCGGTACGGCTTTGGTTTTGATGAGAAGAGCAGCACAGTGTTTTACTGGACCGTGGTCCATGCAACGTGGTACACGCCCATGAACTTCCGGGCATTCCCTTTTGACAACCAGGTGCGAACCGCTTGGCTCAACCGGACCGTGACTCTCATGCGCAGATGGTTCTGCAGCCTGGGTCGTGCTCAGCTGACACAAGGGGTAATTTGGTTGTGATAAGGTCATCCTCCAACAACTGCGTCAGCAAAGTGAAGTCCACAATCGATCTAATCCTAACTTTATCTGACAGCTCCAGCCCCTCGCGACCTCCACCACATGCAGCTGCTCACAATCCAGTTGGAGACCCCAAGCGTAGCCCTTGACAGTGCCCTGACATCAGCCGACATTCTGCTGATCCCATCTGCCTCTGGATCTGAATTCTTTTCAAGCAAAGGAAGTGAGCTGCAGCAGCACGGAAGCAATGGGTGGCCGGTATGTGCTGTGCCGAACTCACGTGATAGCATTGATTAGTAAATCCACACCGCAACCTATTGCACCCTGGAACCAGGTGTGTGCACGAGTGTGTGTGTGTGTGTTTGTGTGCATGTGTGTGTGTGTGTGTGTGGATGTGTGTCTGTGTATGTGAATGTGTGTGGATTTGTGCACATTTCGCAACATCGTGCAGCCCAGGCGTGCCTGCTGCCACCACGCTTGCACACACCCCCTCAGGTGGCGATGATGTCAGCGAGTGGGCGGTGGAGAGCCTCACTCTCCACAACTACTCATTCCCAATTTGCAAGGTGATCCTCGGGGTTGGCCAAGCGCACGTCAAGACGCTGCACCCTGGAATGTTTGCGTACAACATTAGAACCCCTCTCCTGCTGCAAACCCTCCCGCTGCCGGCGCTGTCTCCGCGCACCGCCCGCAGAGCCCTCTGGCTGGACTGGACGCGGCATCTGCGGCTAGCGACCCCGGGCCGCTCGTGCCAAGTTTTTTTGCCAATGTGAGCCTGGGAGCGGCGCCACCTGGGCGTTGGGGGACAGAGCTTCCTGCAGACATGCAGTTCTTATGCATAGCAGCCACACTCAATTGGCCAATAAACGCAGCGCCACACATCATTCCCTCGGGTGTATCAAAGTATTTGTCCCCGGGACAATTGCAAGCAGTGCTCGGTGCCTCATCACTGCCATGCCCTCGTTTGATGTGGCAATTGCCTGTACCTGCAGGACCCTAAAATGATGGCAAACTCATCAAAGTGCGTGGAGGTCGCCCGCAGCCCCTTGGCTGGATACTCGCCGCTGATCGCTCGCTCTCAGAGCTCCTCCAACTCCATGGCAATCGTGAGGAGCCTGGGATCGCATTGTGCTCGCCGCGCTGCCGCGCTGAGGTTGCGCTGTGGGGGCTGATGACATGATGGTGCAGTGCTTGCCACATCCCCAATTTTACAGCAGCTATCGCAGGCCCCCAGCACGCTATGTATGTTGCCCAGGTGCATCCACGTCGCCTAATTTCTGAGCTGCTATCCAACATTGCAATTCTTGTTGTGCATCACGTTGACCTTGTTTGACTGCAGTCAATGGTTGCGGGGGTCAACGTCGTGATACGCATCAACCGCTTGTGGAGCCGCCACGTGATCTCAGCGCTGTTCCCTGTCCTGGCAACAACTTGGCTGGTGAGCCTGCCCGCTGGTCCGCGCAAGCGCGCCTGCCCTCCTTCTTGGGCCATCGCACCTGGGTGTATGGTGCCAGACAGCGGCCTGTCGCAGCAGAAACGCACGGCATTGTGTGCTGAATTGAGCCCCTGATACCAGCTGCTGGGGCCATCTCGCTTTCCCCCGACGCAACTCCTTCGCAACAGTGCTGCATTGCTATCCTAACTTACACAGCAACAATCCTGCAATGCTGCCAGCACTGGCGCCTCAAGTCGCAGCTGCATTCCCTCCCCCTCTTTCCTAGGGATTCCTGGTTTTCCTGTTGCCAAGGAGGGACATGGAGGCTCGCCTGGGTGAGTCTCCGCTGGCACGGCACGCAACTGACAATGAGAGATGTGTGGTCTGGCAGGCCGTGTGCTCTCACGGCCTTCCGTCGCAATCCGCGCCTCAGCCTTGCTAACCCCTGGTCCGCCAAACCTTAACTGCTGGCCTCCCCTGCCCGCGCTGCCCTGTCAGGCGCTGTTGTCGCCTTGTTTTTGGCGCTCGCTGCGATCCAATTTGTCATCGACGCCGATCTGCCGGCGAGCTCTTACGTGAGTGGCTGCGACAGGGCAGGATGGGACCAGCTGGGTGGCTGGTTCCCTTCATGCTCAGGCGCCACATTGGCAGACAATGGAATGGCATGCATGTTTGTGTGAGGGGAGGGGGCGGGAGTGTGCACGCGTGCGCACGGGGATGAAGGCTGCACCAAGTAATTCAGGCCTTATTGTCGCTCATTCACGCTCAGCGGGTGGAGGAGAGTTGCCAGATAGAGCCCCAGCACCCGCTGTGTCCTTGCTTCCCACCCCATGCTGTGCCACACTTTTGCAGACCACTGCTATGCAGATGCTGACGCTGGTCAGCTACTGCGTCCTAATCCTGGTGAGTCAGCACGGTGACTTCTCGCATTCATGATCGGCTTCTGTGCCCCTCGCCACAACTTCCAGCTGATCTGCCGGCTGACAGAATAATGGCTTAAACTGCCACCTGTTTGTGAGATCAATCACTTGACAGCACAGTCGCACCCAGTCGCATGAATAGTTGCACACCCTATCTCACACCCCATCCATCCCGTGAAACCAGGTTGGAATTGAAAACGTCCTGATCTGGTGAGAGCGCAGCCTAGCGGCGCTTGCTTAAAGTTGCCGCCCAGCTTTTCTGGCAACCGGTTGGGGTCTGGACCCCTCATGTCGAGATGTTATCAAATCAAGTCCCTCAAATCAACCCCTCAGGTGGCTGTCTAACTACCACAAGTCCAGGGCGTCCAACCAGAAGCGCCAAATTGCCCAGGAGGCCATCAATCGGCGTATGCAGCAGGCACGTGCAGCGCCGGCCGCCCCAAAATAATTGGTTTGATCGGCCCTGAATAGAAGTGGCCTTCTCCATACAACAGGAGCCACTGCGGCTCATCTCGCTGTTGGACACGCAGATTCACAATACTTGACCCCTTTGAAGCGACCTGACACCAACGCCAAAGCATTCATAGCCACCGAACCAATCTGTTGACCCTCTGCGCCTCCCCCGTCATTCCGCCCCTCTCCCCCTCTCAGATGCTGGAGCAGGCTCTGATCGACGTGATGGTCAGCGGACTCTCGCACCAGACCAGCGCCGACGCCGACGCCGACGTGGACGCGCGCGCCGCTGCTGCCCGCGGTCGCAGCCTGGCATCCAAGCTGCGCACCCTGCTGGACGAGCCGAGGAGGGGGTCCCTGACAGCAAAGTCGGCGACCACAAACGACCCGCGCCACGGCGTCAACCCCAGCCTCAAGCAGCAGCAGCCGCAAAAGCAGCAGCAGGAGCACCTTCAGGGGCAAGAGCAGCAGGACGAGGGCGCCGAAGCCTCGGCCCCCGCCGGCCTCGGCGTGCACATTGGCAGCGGGTCGTCCCCGAAAGACGTCGAACGGGGCCCAGCGGCGCAGCCGTCCCTTCGCCCGCAGCAGCGGAGCGCCCTGCTGCCGCAGGCGTCGGTGGGGGCAGGGGGCCCGGCGGGGCCGGTGCGCAGCTGCCGGGCATGGCCGTGTGCGCTGTGGGAACGAGCCAGGACGCGGGTGGTGGTGGAGATGCAGGCGCTCAAAGAGGACCCAGTTTACGCCGACAGGTGCGGGCAAGGGTGTGACGGCGACCCATGATACTTCAAGATGGTGGCTGTTCAGAGCTTGGCGTGTGTTTGAGTGGGGCGACAGTGTTGGATGTGTGAGCGCACGCACACTTCTGTGTTTTTGTGAGGGATCAGCGTCATCATGCGCACGACGTGTCATCAGCCTGCTGACCTTGCTGTACGTTTTGCAATCCCTCCTCCACCTGCAACCACCACGAGCCGCACCTGCAACCCCCGTGCAAACACCACCTCCTGGCACCTTCACTTCCCGCAGGATCTCCCACATCCTGAACAAGTGGGCGTGTGTAACCCAGTGAGTGGGCCAGAGCCCGACGCGGCGGGGAGCGCGACGCGCGGGGGCGTCCCACGTGTGACTCATTGCGTGCTCTTGGCCGTGCCCTATGTCCCTGGGCTGACTGAGCCAGGCTGCCAGGCCTGAGGGCTCCCCAGTGCCAGCAGTTCAGCACCATGTGCTGCGGCAAGAACCCTGGCACCCAGCTGCAAGGCCTCACACGCAACGCTCTGCCGCACCTCCGCCCGCTGCCGTGTGCCGCAGGTTCATTGCCTACAACATTTGCGCTGTGCTGGTGTTCGTCATCAGCGCCTACCGCTGGCGGCAATAGAGGCCCTTATCCTCTCAAGCGCACAAGATGAAATGTTGTCGGTACTTGTCATCTCCAAGCTTGAATGAATGCGTCCAACGTTGCTGTGCTGGGAAACTAGGGGGTAACTGCACCCATCGCTGCAATTCAGGTTTGCAAACCAGCAACATTAGCTGTGGTTGACGGCCCAAAACTGCTAAACAATCAGTTGTTTTGCGGTATGCTTCATCTGACTGTCGCAGCACAATATCGCCACAGCTCGGGCCTGGTTTTGTTGCAGCATATGGTGACACACGTGTCACTCTGCCGTGTGGCTCACTTCGCAGTAACACTTTTGAATCAATGCAGTGCCTCCGCAAGCTTTGTGGACAATGGGGTGGCATCAGATTGAGATGGGGAGTCCTCAAAGATAATTGGCATGGTGCGAGCAGCCCTTTCTAGCGTGCAACCATTGGAGCCGTGCAGGACAGTGCTTGGGCTGCGTGAGCCTAGGAAAGAAAGATGCTGCGCCAAGCCTGCGTGCGCTCCTGCACCGCCCTGGCGCGACTATGCAGCTGCTGGCAAGAGAGCTGTGCCTGCGGGCTGGCCTCGGCACAGCTTCGTGGTCGCACCACGCCACCACACATGCCTCAGAATCCAAAGCACAAGTGAGGGACTCATTTGAACTTTTTGGGTACCTTCGTCACATGCAATTTGGAGCACAAACTGATGAAACTCACATCAATGACTGTGTGTCAAGAGGTGCTCGCCCCGGCCGCCCCCAACCAGGCACGTGGATACCGCCGGTACTGTGGCAAGCGCAATCTCAGCAGTCGCGCAGCACTGACTCATCATTGAGGAGAGCTCAACGGCGGCCTGTCTTGATGTAGTCATGTTCGTGATCAATCGCGCCATCACAAAGCATAGTAGCTCTGCTGCAAGCCACTCGACCCATCGACCCGTTCCGAGTGTCACTTCCGTGATCACAGGGTCCCGATCCGTATGGAGCGCCTAGAGTCCAAAGATGCCCAGGACAACGCAATCCTACCTGATCGGCAGGAACACGGGCAGCCGCAGCCCGAGCAGCCCCATCAAGAGGCGATCGCCCCGGCGCCGCCCAGCTCGTGCGCCGCCGCGATGCACTCGATGCTCCATCATGGCAAGAGCGGCGCTGGTGACTTTGATGTCTTCTTCTTCTACAACTGCGTCGGCAACGGTGGGTGTTTGCTGCGGACGGCGCACCTGCTGCCATGCGCCAGTCACACATGCGAGTTGCGGAGCTGCACCCCTGGCGACGGGCGCCCCGCTGGCCCTTGTAAACCCCTGCTGGCGCCAAGAGCGATTGAGCTGCACGCCCTTGCTAACGTGCCTGGTCCTGCTGTCTGACGTGCTCCAATTGCCCTCGCACTGCTGCTCTACCCAATAGCGTCACATGCGGACGCCTACTGAAGCCCCATCAGCCTGGCAGCCGTCCCAAAGACACCACACGGGCCGCACGGCTGACGTCAGGCCGGTTTGAACGTCTTCCAGATACGTCTTAGTTAGTTGCAGTGCAGTGCAGCAGCCAGATTGAATCGTCGCGCTTTGCCCGCAGCTGTCGGCCCGGTGCTTGCTGCGGAAGGGGGGCTCACCAGGCGGGCTCCGCTTGACAGACGGGTGCGATGATAACGCTTAAGCTCTGCACGCCGTGCTGTGCACGTAAAACCGGGTGGTTTGTTCCCGGCTTCCAAGGCGGTTTGTTGATTGCAGAACCTTTTGCTGTCGTCAGCCCGCTCCACGGCCGCCGCGGCCTGGAGGGAGACGCGGCGCTCCCACGTTGTGACCCTCTGCGCCCGCTCGCCCCATATGCCATGCGCTGTGCTGTTGTTTGTGAGCTCCTGCCGAACGATACCGGATGTGCAGTGCGCTGTGGGGCGACCAACACAAGCACGCAGACAGCAGGACCGGGCACCCGCACGGTCCTGCGCTCCCTGTTGCAGCAAACTGTTGCTTCAGCCCTTTGGTTGTTGCTGTTGTACACCACTACATCGCCTGGGGTCCCGTGTAACCTTCAGATGCTTCAGTGCATGGGGTCCTGCAGCTCATGCAACAAAGCTGCAAGACCGGATGTGAATGGCGCTCAGCATCTCAGGCTATGACCTGGCAGCGCGACCACGCTCTGGCGCCACAGCCACAGCAAACGAATGCAGAGTCATGCCCATGCGGGCAACGGGCTCCCCTGCCACCTGGGCACTCACGACGCGCCTTCACACCCCGCTGGTCCAGCTAGCTGCAACAACACACGCGATCAAGGGCGCAGGTTACGTTACATAGATTGCGGCCAAGCCCTCAAGCTGGACTAAAGCACAGTTAGTACCGCCTGGTCAAGGCAACGGGCGCGACATGGGTGCGCACACCAAGGGGTGGGCGTCTGCATGCGCGTGCGGTGCAGCAGCGCACCCTGTTTTTAGGGGGCATGCGTCCTCGCCCCTGTGGTGGCTCTGATTGCAGCTTTGGCTGCAGGATGGGAGCGAGAGCGGCAAACCTTCGGCGTCCCACTCGCTGCAACGCATGTATGCGTCGCAAAGCGTTCGGCGTGCACTGATGCGGCTGACCCCTGAGGGGCGGCAACCCCTGAGGGGCTGCACGCCAGGCTTGCAGCCCAAACAATGCAAATCACAGAGCACATGCCAGTGCTTGCACTCCAAGGTGCTAGTCAGGTGCGTGCGTTTGAGTATCACTTTGACTCAACGGGCGAGGTCTGGGACCACTGATTCTTGGGATGGCAGTGATAATGAGGTGCCAGCAAGGCAAGGCGTTGAACAGCATCCACGACCATCATCACAACCAATAATCAGCGGAGCTTGCAGCTCTCTCACGCCTGGATGGTACAATGAGCCGCAGGGGCAGCCGGGCCGAGCACGTCATGCTGAGTCATCGCAGCAAAGCCGTGGGCGCGGCGAGTCCTGTGCCCGCCCTCAACAACAATGTTGATCGCCCAGCAGCCGCGTAGACGGCGTTTGCACTTGGCCTTGTCGCTCACGCAAGCGAGTCGCCGTTCACTGGCAGCACAACAGACGGCTCCCAGCTCTGCTGGGCTGCTACGGCGTCATTGGCGCGTTTGGCTGCGACCGCGGCCTCCGGACCGTCCAGACTGGCAACTTGGTGCAACCACGCGTCCAAAACCTATTCATTCATTCGTTCGTGGTGTGTGTGTGTGTGTGTGTGTGTGTGTGTGTGTGTGTGTGTGTGTGTATGTGTGTGTGTCAAACGTGAGGGCGCTTGACAAGGGATTGACGGGTTGCAATGCGGCCGCAACCCAAATTGACAGTTGCTGTCTTTGTGCCCCCTCTTGCCCTGGCCGAGTCCTACGAAAGGCCCCACCACATCATAACGCGCAAGCACACATGCACACATGCAAACACCTGCACGAATACACACAAACACATCCAAACACACTCATACCACACATACACATGCATACTTTGGATGCTCGCCCGCCCATGCATATTGCGACAGCCGCACCCACCTGGGCGCTGCCGTACCACACGTGGTCGTCCCCTGCCCGCTCATCAAAGCTGCCCATGCGCGCCATGCTGTGCCTGACACCGTCCAGCACGATGTTGCTGGCGCCCTCCAGGACGGCCGCGGACGTGGGCACGACGGCGTCGCCCCATACGCCGTCGCCCTCGCCAGACACCTTTGGGGGAAGGCAGGGGGCGTCAGCGGCGCGTTGCATGGCCGGTTCGACGCGCGCCATGTGGGCACGCACGGCCGCTGAGCGGGCGACATATTTACTGTTTTGTATCGATGCGGGTCGGGCGGTATCTGTGCGCGGAGGGCAGGCCACGCTACTGACTGAGACTTCCCCGGCGCCTGACGCACCAGCACAGGCACTGCTGCCCACCCCGCCGGCAATCGGAACAGAACCCCTGGGCCGCCCCACCTGCGTGTAGGCCTCGTGCGCGTAGCCATTGATCGTGCGCGCCTTGGAGCGCGCCGCCTGCGCACAGCCCTTGACGGCACGTCCTGCTACTGCGACATACTTGACGCCCTCCGCCCCGAACGCCGCCCCCGGCCACTGCGCGTCCACCCACCCCAGCGCGCCGCCCGTCATGTCGCGCGCGCCGCCCTTGGACGCCGGCCGGTGGGGCGTGCCGAGGGTCGTCAGGGACGCGACGGCGGGGTGCGGGCCCAGCGGCACGTCCGCGGCGGCGGCGGCCGCGGCGGCGGCGGCGGCCGCAGCGGCCTCCTTGTTGAGGGCGCTGCCGGGGGCGCGGCCGATGAAGGCGCGGCCGAGCCAGCCGCCCGCGGAGTGGCCGAGTAGGTGCACCTGGTCCGACCCTGTGGCATCCTGCGCGCGGCGGACGGCCTCCGCGACGCGCTGGATGTACCTGGTTAGGGCACAGGGGGGGGGCGCAAGAGCGCGCACGTGTGTATCGTATGTGTGTGTTTGTGTGTGTGTGTGCGTGTGTGTGTGTGCATAGGTGGGAGTACATTGGGTTATGGTGCGTTGTTCCCCAGGCCTGAGAGGTTGGGCTTTGCAGTGTTCCTTGAGGGGCCCATACTGATGAGGCGGCAGGGGTGCCACGCGCCACGAGAGCCGCGGCCACCCGCGACGCGCAGCTAGCAGTGGAGAGCTGCCGGGCGCCCTTGTCCTGCTTCCGGGCAACGTTCCTGGAGACCCCTGGCTGCTTGACCCACAATGTGTCCGCAGGACCCCTCCAAACACACACTGGGGCACGCGCGTGCACACACACACACACACACACACACACACACACACACACACACACACACAAAAAACAAAACGGCACTCCCCACAGGACCGCAGCAGGCGCCGCTGGGCACCCACCAGCTGTAGCCGGGGTCCGTGGTGAGGGTGCCCCTCCAGATCCCGAGCGTGAGCAGGCCGCGCGCGACATTGAACCAGGACTTGCGCTCCAGCTGCAGCACCTCCACGTGCCACCCCCGCTCTTTGAGCTGCGTGGCAAGGCCCTCAGACGGCACGCCAAAGGGGGCCGTGTAGTCTGTGGTGTTGTTGCCAAACCCTGGGGAGCGCGGTCCGTCAAGGGGGCGGCCGGGCGGTTGGGTTTAAGTGGTTTGTGAGGGGTGAGGGGGAAGGAGCATGCTAATTATAGGTGAGGGATCCGTGCAGCGGGTGCGGGGCGGCGCTGGCCGCCAACTGCTTGTGGCAGC